TTAAAGAAACATGTAAAATATACAAGAGAAGGAGAAATTTGAGGAGTACACTTTTACAAAAAAATATATATCTATTACAAAAAAAAAAAAAAAAAAAATTCTAGAAAGGGCACGTGCCCCGGTCTTATATTGGCTCCATCCCCGTCTCCGTCACTCTCAACTACTCAATCGCCTTCATCATGGACCCCATATCAAACTTTCCTTTCCCATCACCATCTCCTCACACGATAAACAAACCTGTATATGTGAAACAGACCTGTAGATCTCCTCACACAATAAACAAACCTGTAGATGTGAATAAGACCTGTAGATGTAGAGAAAGAAACAGGGAGAACGTGATCTAGGAAAGAGAAAAACGAGTTAAGTTAACAACGGCATTGATAGTATTTCACACTTTCTAATTTTATTTTATTTATTTATTTTTTTATTTTTTTATTTTTTTTTGAAATAATAACTTTTGGAGGTAAATTGGTAATTGTATCCTTTACCATTGCTGGAAAGTTGCCCGAAGTCTCACTCAAAGTAGTAAGTTGCTTACTTTTAAAAAGTTGAGGGATTCATCTACTCTAAAATTAATTCAAGATATAATTTAGGAGAATTTATTACACTTTTTTGTAAAAAATAGTTTAAACCATTCATACACATTTTTTATTCGCATTGCTCTTTAATTTTTTATTTGGTGTTACAGAACAGAGTAATGTTATACTGTTCAAAACGATTTTTTTGACAACTCCCATCAATAGAATCCAAAAAAAATTATTTGTCAAAATTTAAGAATAAATAACAAACATTAATACATGCTCCACTCCCATACCATCGACAAAGCGGAGGATATATCATTTTTCATAACTATAGTTGAAAATCTCAAATCAAATCATTTGTTCTTATTACAACGAAAAAAGTATGGGACTAAGATCTCGTCATTGGGGTTTAGCTTATTGATTAATACTTTATTCGTCCCAAAATAAGTGTTCACATTTTCATATTTAATTATTCTAAAATAATTGTCCCAAAAATGTTATATATATTACAAAGAAAAAAGTATGGGACTTAGATCCGGTCATTGGGATTTAGCTTATTGATTAATATTTTATTCGTCTCAAAATAAGTGTTTACGTTTTTATATTTAATTATTCACACTTATTTTGGATATAGCATTTTTGGGACAATTATTTTAGAATAATTAAATATGAAAACGTAGACACTTATTTGGGAACAAATGGGACGAATAGAGTACTAATCAATAAGTTAAACCCCGATGACGAGATCTTAGTCCCATACACTAATACCACCATGGACACGTATTCCTTGGACTGCAAGTGGAGTGGTGTTCGATCACTCAGCCAAAGATTGTCTGCTCCGCGTATTGCTCGAATTTTGTTACAAATTCCATTTGAATTGTTCGTGGTGCTGGACTGGTTAAGAAGGGGCGGTGATGGCCACCTTCCCATTTTGTTACAAATTCCATTTGAATTGTTTGTGTTGGCGGATTGGTTAAGAAGGGGCGGTGATGGCCACAGAAGGTGGTGGCGGCGAAATAACGGTGGTGCAAGTGCCGGCGCCAGAGTCACAGTGGAATAATATGAAGTTTAGTGGGAATGATGACCACAAATATTTTCTTAATTTTATAATAATAAATATTAATTTTTAATTTATTATTAAATAATAATGTCAATTTTATCATTTTAATAATATTTTTTTATTTCAACAGGTATTTTAAATTTTATTGAGAGTTCCAAAAAATTATAGTCCCCAGGACAACATGACCTTTGAAGTATTTTATAAGATATTGAATTTATCTTTCTTCGTTGACCTTATTAAAAATAATTAAATATAAAATATCATGACCAACCATAAATAAATTTAATAATTTATTCACTGTCAAATGTCAATATAATAATAAAATATTAAAAAAATATATTTTAAAAATGGGATGTGATGGCAATGTGTCGTCAGTACTCACACCGTGATGGCAATATGTCGTCAGTTCCCATGCCATTCAACCGCCAAGATCCATTTTTATATCATTGAGAAAAACTCTCCATCTATATCTACGGGACATGCTTCTCTCTGAGTTTTCACAGACATTTTTATTTTTTCCGAGTTCAAAGCCTTGGGTATTTTTCTACTACCTTCTTTGTTCTCTGTTTCAGCTTTTCCTGTTTTTGTAACACTCTCTACACTCGACTCGGGAGACATTGGAACTCACGCTCCAACTGATTGCAACTAAATCCCCAGCGATGTAAGTTTCTCTCTCTTTCTCCATCTTTATACATGTACAATTATTGTCCCATTCCTATTACTGCGTGTCAATATTTAATTAGGGTGTAAAACAGTGTCATTAATAAATTTGAATATTTAATTAGTGTGTGAAACAGTGTCATCAATACTCCTCAGAAATTAAGGCTTGTTAGACCACACCCCGTTTCTTAGAATTGGAATTCTGAACCGGCTTGCTTTTGACTTGTCTGAACTAAACTATATGTATAATTTATATGACCATTATGATATTTATATGACCCAAAAACATATAGATACATAAATCTATAATGGTTTCAAATTTATGATCAACCCTCATCAGGAATTTATTTAAACTTTTAGTATATGCTTATGCATACATATAGGTGTACAGAACTAAGATTAATTGAATTCTTGTAATTATTATACTTTTTTCTTTTTACTTTGGATAAGGAATGAAATTTTTATTATTTCAGTTTTTTACTCCAGATGAATGAATAGTTGATCTAAACAAGAAACTTGTGGTTCATTTGGATAAATAATGGATTTGAAATCAAGATATTTGAGTTTATAAGAAATGGTTGGCTATTGAAATTGGATTCCGAAGTTAATACAATCGTTCTGTAACATGAATATTTACTGCTAAAAATTGTGTCTCAAACTCTATTGTAATTAGGATCTATTTTAAAATTGTTTTATTATGGTAATTTCTTGTAGAGATATGTCTTGGCTCTAAGAAATTGTAATCGGAGTCCGCCAAGAAATTGGTTATGAGACTTTATTAATAGATAATTAAGTTATTGTTGAGAGATATGAGTTCAGAGAGATGTAGCCTCATGAGGGTTGGAGTTGATGAATAGAGATGTAGTTATATGTTGGGTAGAGTGAACACTGATGGCGGGAGGGAGTCTTGTGGAGTACACGAGTACCTCGGTCAAGAGTTTGTTTGCATGGGTCTGGTGTTAGAAATTCTCTATTGTAGTAATATCTCTACATATATGGTGAATCCTCCTCATTCGTGGACGTAGCCCTAATTTTGGGTGAAACACGTATATCTTGTGTTTGTTGTGTGATTGCTTCTTAAATAAAGGGTAAACCCAATGAATGAATCATGAGGTTTCCACCATTGTGGGTCTGGGGAAGGTCAAATGTACGCAACCTTACCTCCAAATGCAGAAAGACTGTTTCCTTGTTTTGAACCTGTGACCTCGGTGTCACAATTGAACAACCTTATCGTTGCGTCAAGGCTCGCCCTCTTAAATCCATTCATTTTTATTTTCTAAAATTCAATCCATCGAGTTATATTTCTTTCATAACTGAACCTAAACCATTCATTTGGAATCCTTGAATCCAAATGTAAACTTAGATTATGAGTTCAATTCCAAATGAATTATAAGCTTAATCAAAATGGTAATATTCCAACTAGTGGAATTATGATTAATTTAATCCACCTTCACATAAGTGGAATTCCAAATCAATTAATGGCACCCTAATACTATTTTCTAGCAGATGGTAGATATTACGTCTTAGATGTGATTTTAGTAAATAGGAGTGAATTGTTCAAAATCTCACTTTCTCCTACTAAGATTTTCATTCTACGCTTTTGTGAGGTAGTATATATATTATAAATGTATACAAGGGCGGAGGCAGCATGTGCCCAGGGGGGCCAACTGCCCCCCCCGCCCATGCTACCCCAATAGAATTTTTTATTTTTTTATACATAAATTTGTAAAAAATGATAAAATGCCCCTCCCTAAAATTAATAAAATGACCCCTTTGCCTCTGAATCCATTAAATTTTATTTTATTTTATGCATATAATTTATAAATATTTATAAAACACCCCCATAAAATTTATAAAATTATTCCCCATAAAATTATCTATTTCTAAAAATGTCTTTAATTCTTTATTCTTTTTCCTTATTATTCTTCAAATTTCTTTTTGTTGTCTTCAAAAATTTTGATATTTTCTTTCTACAATTAAAGTCTATTTTTCCTTTAAAATTATCTCATATATATATATTTTTTATTTCATTTTCTTCTTAAAAAATTCCCTTTTCTTCTTAAAAATTTATTTTTTCTTCCACTCATGCATAATTTATATGCAATTAACCTTCTTTTTCTTTTTTTTCTCTTCTTATTTATTTTTTCTTCCATTGTTGTTACACTATTATATTTTAGGCATGTTTGAAAAAAATTTATTTTGTCAGTGCTAACATGCCCCCCTGAACCAAATTCCTGGCTCCGCCCCTGAATGTATATGATAAGATGATTGAAACTAACCACCAATAATTTAGGAAAATAGTAAGTTTTCCGAGCAGGAATTGAAAATAATGGCAGGGCATTCGATTTCCCATCAAAGCAAACACAGTTCATACATGTAATGGGTTATTCTCTGACTCATTTTAATTTCTATGACATGCACAATGTCAAGATTTTCATTTTCATTAGAATTCCAAATGCTCCCAGAATTTGTAAATGAACATTAGGATGAGATGGGAAGCAACTTCAAAGAATAGTGGTTCTTATATGTAAGTAAGATCACTCTTAATGGCCTCTCTTCGCACATATCCTCTGTGTTTACCTTCTTGGTTAATGGTTTTTGTGGACTGCTTCATAGCATGCCATATTTTTAGATCAACATAGAACATCTTTTATTCATAAAACAGAAGTATTAAAAAAACTAGTAAATTAAACTTAAAAAGCAAAGTGAATCTTGCAGAACTTCAAGGTACGAACGCATGCATAAATCTGGATGAAATACAATCTTGCTGCTGAAACAAGTGAAGTGTCGACACTGCTGTAAATTTGCTGATGGAGATCCCATTCCCTTCCTTCCCAGTTCTTTTCACTTTTCTCCTCTTTCTGTTCATGGTATCGAAAATAATCTCTAAAACAAAGAGCTTGACTCGAAATCTACCCCCCGGGCCATGGAAGCTACCTCTCATAGGAAACATGCACCAGTTTGTTGGATCTCAACCCCATCACTGCCTAAGAGATTTGGCCATGAAACATGGACCTCTGATGCACCTGCAACTTGGAGAACTTTCTATTGTTGTCATTTCTTCAGCAGAAACTGCAAAAGAGGTTATGAAAACCCATGACATCATCTTTGCTAACAGGCCTTGTCTTCTTACTTCATCCATCGTATCTTATGGTTCTACAAACATTTCCTTTGCCCCATATGGAGACTATTGGAGGCAACTTCGCAAAATTTGTATCATGGAGCTTTTAAGCATAAAACGAGTCCAATCATTCCGATTTATCAGGGAAGAAGAGGTCTCTAATCTCATCAAATCCATTTCCACAGATACAGGATTGCCACTTAACCTCAGTAAAAAGATTTCTGTGTCGACTAGCAACATTATTGCAAGGGTGGCCTTTGGCAAGAAATGCAAAGATCAAGAAGCATTCTTATCACTTGTCAAGGAAATCAATAAGTTAGCAGCAGGTTTTGATGTTGCTGATCTCTTCCCTTCAGTTAAATTGCTCCATTTGATCACTGGGCTGAGGCCTAAAGTTGAGAAGATTCATAGAGAAATTGATAAGATACTTGACAACATCATTGATGACCATAAAGCTAAGAAGGTGGCAGCAAAGATTCATGATGTTGAAGCAGATGACGATCTGGTGGATGTTCTTGTAAAAATTCAGGAATTCCATGACCCTGAATTCCTGTTAACTATCAATAACATCAAGGCCGTTCTCTTGGTTAGTACATTTACTAAATTTCTGCTTCAATCATGTTCATGTGTTTCCACAAATTATTTTTACATCCAGCTGAAGCAAAGTTTGAAAGTCTTTTTTAGTTTTAAACATCCTTCGAGTTCAAGAAAATTAATTACATATCAATAAATGATTGAACTGTGTAGTTTAAAATCAAGATCCAAGTTTTAAACCTCATGTTCTATATGTAAGTTTGGTCCAATCTAAGTCAACACCCAGTGTGGCATCTATCAAGATAAGTTTATAAAGTTGCAGAGAGCCTAGTAAAAACTACTAGGAGGATATTGTTCTATATTTCTATATTCTGTGACTCTGTTTCAATGCTGTTCCAGGACATTTTCATAGCGGGGAGTGAGACCTCATCCACTACTATAGAATGGGCAATGTCAGAAATGCTGAAAAACCCAAGAGTTATGGAAAAGGCACAAGCCAAGGTGAGGCAGGTGTTTGGTAAAAAGGGAAATAATGTCGATGAAGCAGACCTCAGTGAATTGAGGTACTTAAAGCTAGTTATCAAAGAAACTCTGAGATTCCATCCTCCTCTCCCTTTATTACTACCAAGAGAATGCAAAGAGGGATGTCAAATTAATGGATATGAGATACCTATCAAAAGCAAAGTCATTATCAATGCATGGGCGATTGGTAGAGATCCTGAACATTGGATTGATGCAGAGAGCTTCGATCCAGAGAGATTCCTCGACAATTCAATTGATTTCAAGGGGGCTCATTTTCAATATATACCATTTGGTGCTGGAAGAAGAATATGTCCTGGCATATCATTTGGAGTACCTAACATTGAGCTTCCACTTGCACAACTGTTGTACCACTTTGACTGGAAGCTTGCCGATGGAGTGAAGCTTGGAGATCTAGACATGACGGAGGGCTTTGGCACAACAGTTAGAAGGAAAAGAGATCTGTATTTAATTCCCAATGCTTCTCATCCTTCACCTGGTGAGTAAAACCAGAAGGCAGAAAGCATTTGATTTTCATTTTGAATTGGCAAAAGACATCCATTATAAATGACATTTTCTATTTCAATGTCAGCCTGTATTGTTGATTAGTTTATCTTATGCATGTAAGCATTTTTTAGAATATGCATTGGCTTCCATATATTGCTAGACATCACATCACATCACAAGATCTCTTATTCTTAGTTATACACCATCAGTTAGTGAACATCTTTATGTTCTGGCCCCAGACTTAGAGCATCATAATCATTGGTCTTCTATTTCAAAGATCCTTTGTTATTTAATCACACTCTCACAGAGCCTTAGTAACTCATTATCAATTATCAATTATTCTTTGTTCACATTCCGTTTGTTGGATGCTGCAACATGGCCACAACCAGTTCCATGGTCTCTCAGTTGATATGCCTCACATGTCTTCCTCGTTGTTATGTCTGCTAGACTGCTACATTTTGACTGAAAATAATTTAACATTAATGTTTGAGTTAATGAACCTAGAGGAACTCTGTCTCTGTGCTGACAACTTTAGTGGTCTTGTGAAGCTGGACATATTCCCTGACTTGATGAAAGTTTCTCATCTTGATATATCAAGGAATTGTTAGATATATATGCCCTCAAAGTCAAATTTGATTTTTTATTGGTTTATTTAATTATGAACTTATTATTATATTTCTGACATTCATGTGTAAATTATGCATGTTCAATTTATTATGCCCTAAGGTTAAGTTGTAGGAAAAAAATTGTTATAAAGATTAGACAAAGTTTTTCCGCTTCCTCTTAAACCTTATATTTGTTCTTAATCATAAGTGATGAGGTATTTGTAGACTAACATATATCACACGATACAATTATATAATGGTGTGTCTTAACTATTAGAGTAGTAGATTCATAAGCGGATATATAGATGACAGAATCTAACCATCCATAAATTCAGGAAAATAGCGTTTTTTTCCAATCTGATATTGCAAATAAGTGGGGCATTCCATTTCCCATGGAAACAAAAACAGTTCATGCTGTAACATATTATTCTCAAAATGCTTCACTGACTTGTTATAATAGGAAGACTTTCATTTCCATGGGAACTCCAAAAGCTCCCTGGATTTATAAAAGAAAATTGATTAGTTAGGAAGCAACTTCAAGGAATAGAGGTTATTTTATGCAAGTAAAATCACACCTAATAGCCTCTTTGTGCACTTGTCCTCTGTGTTTACCTTCTTGGTCAATTAATTTTTTTGTGCTCAACTGCTTCATAGCATGCTGCCTTTTGAAGTCAACCTAAAGCACCTTTATTCACTGAACAAGGGTATCATACAAACTAACCAGAAAACAAAACTTAAAATGCATAAATCTGGAATGAAACACAATCTTACCATTGAAAACAAGCGTTCTCAATACTGCTCTACATGTGTTGATGGAGCTCCCATTCCCCTCCTAGTTCTTTTAGCTTTCTTCCTCTTTCTGTTCATGGTATAGAATTAGGGCAGCATAACAAGTGAGGAATATATACCAAAGTACCCCCCTTAAAACTTCGATCAATTGAAGATATTCCAGCATTGATCGATAGTTGTTCAAGGGTCGATAGCTCAAAACTCAGCATTGCTTAGATCGATGATACCATCAAATTCCACATTTTCCATCAATCTCCACTTGGAGATTGATAACATCAAACTGCAAACTCCCCAATGCCTTCAAACATAGCAAAACCTACAGCAACTCATTCCTCTATCCTCAAGCTCGAACTCTAATTGAAGCTATACACAACTTCAGTTTCTCAATAGTCACTGTCTTGGTTAAAATGTTTGTGGAACTATATTTTCTAGATTGTTTTGAACTCTCATTTGCACATCATCCTTGGAGATTTCCTCCAACTCAACTTAGTCATCCTTTTCAGCATGATTTGTCCTTATAAGTTACTTTCTCATTGAATACGAATCTCTTCTTCTAATAATTTTCAAAATTTTATCGTCTTAGAATTGATAACCAAATTCATCCAAGTCATACCCAATAAAAGTAAAATTTTTTGGACTTTGGATCAAGCTTGCTTCTAGAATCAAAATTATATGTATTTATGAAACACAGCTAAACACTTTCAGGTGTGAAAGATTTACCTATTTTATGCTCAAAGCCTCCCTTGGTAAGCCCCCATCTAAAAGAATAGAAGGTCCCCCGTTTATCAAGTATGCTACAGTTTTAACTGCATCAGCCCAAAATATCTTAGTCAATCCAACATGTATCCTCATACTCCAAGCACGCTCATTCAAGGTTTTGTTCATGCTTTCTGCAACGCCATTTTGCTATGGTGTCCAGAAATAGTCTTCTTCATTTTGATCCTATTAGCACAAAACTATTTGAAGCCTCTATCTTCATCCTTATTCCAAATTATCAGCCCTTAACACTTTTATCTTCAAGCTTGTCTCATTCTCATTCTCCACCATGGACTTCCTCTTCTTAAAAGTGTACACATCATATTTGTGGCGACCTTGTGGGTGGGGTGTGCTTGGGCGAGTGCGAGTGAGGCGTTGGCAGGATACGAGTGTACGATCCCACATTGACTAGGTGTGGAAAGGGGAAGTGTTATATATGTAGGATTGGTACACTCCAAATGGTATAAGATCTTTTAGAGTAAAACTCAAGAACAAAATCGTGCGAGCTTAGGCCGGAAATGGACAATGTAACGACCCTAAAACTGAAACTATTTTTTTTTAAAAAAAAATTTGGCATGACCTCCACTAAAAATGGTCTTACAACAACCTGTTTAAATGCATTTTTAACCTGTCTCAACACAATAAACATATAATACATTCCAGCATCCCTTTCATCCATTCATTATGCCTCAACATTTAGACAACTTATAATAAAATTACAGTCCATAATTATAATTACAATAACAAGGGTTCACAAATATCTATATCAAATATAACAAACTAAGATTTTACAAAAAAAATGTGGGACTTAAATACAAAAATAGCAAAACGATCTTCTCATCTAATTTAGGCCTGTGGTGGAACATCATCCACCACTTCTTTCTCATTTCCTAAAAAAAAATGTTAAATAAAAGGGGTGAGCAAAATTGCTTAGTAGGTGGTGCCTAAGACACACCTCTTGTGTCCCCGTGAGTCCAAACAAGGAATAGGACAATAGGAATCGAGGTTATACTATGTCGGGAAAGTACAACATTAAATCTAATCTCAACATACACAATATGATGCAATGATATGCAATGCATGCCGATGTCGCTCCCCATTTTCAACATTCAAATCCATCACTTTCAAACTGTTAATATAACCCGCCTTTTGGTGACCCCGCAGCGACACGAGAGAAGAATTGACTAGTGTCCCTGACCCTTGGTACCCCCGCGGCGTCATTTTGGGCTAGCTAGCTCAACCACGCTAGGGCAATCTCCTAGTTCCCTCTAGGCTATATTAACACACCGGCCTTTTGGTAATCCCGCGTCGACTGGGTTTTCTTAAAACACTTTAAACAAAACTTCTTCCCAAAATTCCCCTTTTTCATTTCAAAACAATTTTTCCTATTTTCATGCCCAATGTTAGTGTATGGATGCGTCCATGCCATGTCCATGTTCATCATCCCATAACTAGTTCAATTTTAATTAACAAAGCATGATTCACAAGAATTTCTAAGGAAATTACAACATGTTTTCACACAATAAAAATCTAGCATCATAGGCATATGAAAATCACACTTAGGCATGCTCTTCACATAGATCATTTAATACACATAATTACACAATTAACATATATGCACAACAACCAAACAATTTACTAGATTCTATACAAATTAATCATGCTAAACAACAATTCAAGAGGAGTTAACTCACTAAAGCACAAGATTGTATGGATTAAGAACCCCTATCTCAAATGTGATGCAAAACCCTCAAAATGGGTCAAGATTTTCGGACTCCCTAGGTTGCTTAAAATTGAAATTACTAGTACACACGTGTAGAGCACGCCGTGCTCTCCGTTTTGCCGCAAACGGCACTTAAAAACACTAAAAAATGAGGGAGAAATCAAGAGTGGAAGCTTGTGTGAAAAAGAAAAGAAAAAGGAAAACAAAGAAGGAAAGGAAGCTGCGAGAGAAATGAGAGATGAGAAAAATGGGTCTGCATCCCATAAACACATGTGCCTTAAAGTAAAGTGGGCCCCATAGCTAACAAAAAAAATCTTTTGACATATATATATAAAGTCAAAAACTTTACATTCTCCCCAACTTTAAAAAGATTTCATCCCCGAAATCAAGCCATACCTATGAGAGAAAACAACTCTGGATACTTTGAGCGAACCTCATGGTCAAGCTCCCAAGTAGCCTCCTCAACTCCTTGGTGTCTTCAAAGAACTTTCACCATTGGTATTGTCTTGTTCCTTAACACCTTCTGTTGTGTGTCAAGGATCTGAACTGGTCCCTTCTCGTAGGAAACATCCTCATCAATGTCCACATCAACCTAACTCAAAATATGAGATGGATCCGGCTTGTACTTCCGTAACATCGATACATGGAAAACATTGTGGACCCTGTCCAACTGTGGTGGCAAAGCAAGTCTGTAGGCAACCTCTCCTACTCGGTCCAAGATCTCAAAAGGTTCAATGAATCGTGGCGATAACTTGCCACTCTTCCCGAACCTTAACAACCCCTTCCATGGAGAAACCTGAAGAAAAATGTGCTCTCCCACCTCAAAAGATAGCGGTCGTCTCCGCCTATCCGCATAACTCTTCTGTTGACTCTGAGCTGTGAGCAACCTCTGTCTGATCAATTTAATTTTCTCGATAGTCTCGAGTACTATGTCGAGTCCTAAGGCGGCGGTCTCACCCACCTCAGTCCAACAAATAGGAGACCTACAAGGTCTATCATACAACGCCTCAAATAGAGCCATCTGGATACTTGCCTGATAACTGTTATTATAAGCAAACTCAATAAGCGGAAGGTGATCCTCCCAACTACTTCCCAAATCAAGCACATATGCCCTAAGTATATCCTCTAAAATCTGGATAGTACGCTCCGACTGGCCATCTGTCTGCGGATGGAATGCCGTACTAAG